AAAAAATATTTCTGTGGAAACTTTAGCCTCGCTGCACAAGGAGCCTTCTATCAACAAGAAAATTCACATTATAGGTAAAAAACCATGTCCTTTGCTCTTCCACCTGCTCCTGAGGCATGGTTTCTGTGCAGCAGGAGGCTGGAGAGGCGTGAGGGGAATATCTGCATTTCTCTGGGATCAGTCCCTGGAAGCAGCACTGTCGCTGGAACAACGGGCTCAGCCCGGGCCGCTGCAGCGCTCCCGGGTTTATTTTTGTCCGGGCTTGGAGCGGGGGTGGCAGAGATCAGGTGGCAGTGCCCGAGGAGCGCCAGGCATCGCCCGTCCTGCCGCCGTGGGAGCGCGGGTCGGTGGGAGCAGGGAGCAGGCAGGGATGGGGAGCAGGGAGCAGGCAGGGGTGGGGAGTGGGGCTGCTCCTCCTCCCCAAATCCTTCCTCTTGGATCAGCCTGCCCTGGGGATGCTCTGGCGGTGTGGGAACCACGGATGCTCCCACTTGAGCTGGCTCAGAGCTTTGCAGTCCAGCCTGGGGAATCAAAGCAGTGGCTGTGCTTTGGTACTGGGATTAGGAGCTGGAAACCAGTTTCTGGTAGGATTGAGTCATGGGCATACCACGGAGACACAGAAAGGAGCCAGGGAAGCCCAGCTCCCCAAGAACCACTGCAGTGTTTCCATCCCTGACCTTGCCTCTTTTGCCATATGGGTTCCACACCGGGTTGTGTTTGAGCAGTACCAGAGAGCCCAGTTGATTCCTGGTGTCCCCATGCTGTCCCAGAAGAACAGCCAGCCTGGCAGGTGTGGCTGTGATAAAATTTGACTAATTTGGCAAGCTAGTCAAATCTGCCAACATCCTTGGCCACACAGGAACACATTCCCAACAAGAATCCATCCTGGATCCATCCCCAGCATCAGCAGAGGTGAGTGTGGCACTGCCAGAGGGTTCAGCCCCTTCTTTCTCCATCACCTGAAAACAATCTGCAGCACTGGAGAGTTTTATTTCCCAAGGGGCTGAGAAAAGAGAGGAGCCTGGAGTTAATCAAAGAATGGGAAGCGTGTGGGAGCAGCCGTGACTGGAAGAACTCACAGGGTCTGTGCTGGAGAGGGAGCAGAGCTGCACTGGGGTCTGGGGCAGGGGGCTCAGAGGATGGGGTCTGTTCAGAGAGTGGCACTGTAGAAACACAGGAGCAGGAGATCAATTTCTCAGGTATGGGGTGAGGGACCAGGGTGCTGTGCCCCATCTGGGGTGCAGGTATGTGTGGCATCACATGTGATCACTGTTGAGAGGCCTGAGCAACATCACACAGCCCAGAGTGCTGTGACTCAACACACAAGTCCAACCTGACCTCAGCAGGAGCCAAGTGCTCTGTGGCAGAGTCTGGGCCTCTCCCTGAGCCCGGGGCTATTCCAGCTGTGCTCTGGGAACCACACACTGCAAACAGCCCCTCCATTGCAGGCCATCCTGCAAAGAATCCCCTTTTATATAAATCCCAGCACATGATGCCAGAGTGGAAGGAGCCTCCCCTGCCCCAGCAGGTCATTTCAGGCTTGGCTGAGCTTCTTTCCTCTCGAGGGGATGTTTGCCAGCATCTCGGAAATGGCCCTGGTGGATCTGCAGCCCCAGCACAGCCCTGTCAGTGGAGGACCTGCCCTCTGCAGCTCGGAGCAGCAAATCCCTCCTGCAGCAGGGTGAGGATGGATGATGTGGGAGCACGTGGAAATCTGGCAATGGATGATGCATTGGGCCTAACTCAGCTTCCAAGGGTCAGACCCCGTTGGTGCCTCCCAGCTGTGTCTCCCTGGATCCCTGGGAGTGTCTGGACATCTCTGATGTTGAGATCAAAGAGCCTGTGCTCATCCACAGGGCTGGAAACACTCAGTGGAAGGGATGCAGGCACAAAGCACCGCCCTCTTCTGCACTCTCAGCCCAGCCCTTACCTTGCTGTGTGGACAAAGGACACACACACACAAGAGCACTAAAGCTGTTGGTGTCACCTGTCTTGTTTTCCTGAGGGGGAACACTTCCAGACTGCTCTGCTGGGTGATATTCTGCAGACATTTAACAGGAGCTAAATCCAGCTGGGATTTGTAGCGAGGTCTGATGCATCCCCCACTCTCTGGACTGTCACAGTCAAGGCAATGTGTCTTTCTGGGCTGATTAGGGAAGGTGTCAGGGACCTCACAGCCGAGACTGACAAGCCAGGGTTTCTCCTCTCACTCTGCTGTTTTTCACTAATTGCACCTCTCCCTAATTAAAAATCAGTGATGTGGCTTTGGCAGCTGCAAGTCAGATCCCCCAGGCGAGCCCGGGGCAGAGGTTGGGAGGTGGAGAAGGATGGAGCCATCCCTGGAGCCTGGTACATTCCCTGCCGTGGCTGCAGAGGAGCCAAACATCCAGGAGGGTCCTCCTGAGAAGGAACAAAGTCAGAGCCCACCCTGCCAGAGACGTGGGGCAGCTGAGGGTGTCCAGGGCCCTGAATCCTTGTTGGGCAGGAGGGAAATGCTCTGTGCCAGCTGCAAAGTCCCTTTCCAGGTGGCAGTGGTGGCTCCAGTAAGACGTGGAGCTGGGAGCTGGGGCTCTGCAGAGGAGGCAGCAAATCCCGGGATGCTCTGGTGAGCTGGACATGCTCTGCCTCTCCCAGGGGACAGGAAGAGTCAGCTCGCTGCCAGGCACTTAAAATCAGACAAAATAAAAGCTGGATGAGCTATAGAAGTGCAGGTTCCTCTTGGCTTGTTGGCTGCTGATCTGTCAGCTCTTTTTCCTTCCTTATTTCCACATGATGCAAAGAGTTTTGTTCCAGGTGTCTTCCTATGGGATAATAATGTCTCCAAGCAAACTCCCCCTGGGTGAAGGCAGGAGGAGCAGGCAGCCACCAGCACGAATGTACAGTGTCAGCAACTCCGGGGTGATTTCATTAACGAGCTCTTGTGCTCTGACTGCATCAGTGCAGACCCACAGACAGCAGCGAGTGTTCCAATCCCCTGCCACGTTCCACCAGACCAGGCTGCTCCAAGCTCCATCCAGCCTGGCCTTTTCATGCTTGTGCATGCCCTCTTTGGAAATCCAGGGGTGCAGGGGGTGTCTGCCTGTCAGGATGTCAGATAAGGACAGGATGGATGATGCTTTTGTTACCCTGGGAAGCTGTAGGGGGGAATAGAGACATCAGCTCCTCTCGCCTTAGAGGAGTGAGGTCTTGGCAGAGACCACAGTGCACAGCAGCCATTTCAAGGGATGAAACAGGAAGGGTTTAGGAGAGGCAGGACATTAGATCTCTCTGCTGGGCATGGACATCTTCCAGGAACTGGCGAGCAGACTTTGGAGAGTGGCTGGAAGCCTTCAGTGTGGTGGGCTACAAGAGAGCCTGAGAGGGACTTTGGGCATGGGCCTGGAATGACAGAACAAGGGCAAATGGCTTCAAACTAACAATGGGCAGGGTTAGTTGGGATATTGAGAAGAAATCCTTGACTATGAGGCCCTGGCAGAAGTTGCCCAGAGAAGCTGTGGCTGCCCAGGCAGTGTCCGAGGCCAGGCTGGACGGGGTCTAGTGGAAGGTGTCCCTGCCCATGGCAGGGGGTTGGAATGAGATGATCTTTAAGGTCCCTTCCAACCCAAATCTCCCCAGGGAAACAGGGAAGATCATGCCCAGCTCCCTTTTCTGGCCCACAGCCACGGAGAACTTGCAGATGGAAAGCTCTTGGCTGGGGCTGGCTGCTCCTGATGGGCTAATAATACCCCTGGGAGAAGGTCAGGGGGGCAGCAGCACGGGCAGCTCCCATTACAGCCTGCCACGCATCACCCTCAGCTGCCAGAGCCTCCGGAAAAATTTGGGATGTCTTGGAGGAGAGCTGGCAGTGCCAGCCCTCCTGCACTGGTGGATTTCCAGGGAGATGGCAGCAGGTGGCTGCCAGTGGTTATCTGCACCGTGGCACAGAGAATTTAACCCCCAGCACCAGTCCCTGCCCTGCATCCCCCGGGTCACCACAGCCTCCCCAGCTTCCCCATCCCAGCAGGACCTGGCTGCCACTGGGCAGGCCACCGTGCTGTCCCACGGCCACAAATGTCCCAGCAGAGAGGGCTTTTCTTGCTGAAAAGCTGCTTAGCAGCTTATGGAAACAATAAAAGTAGTATTATCTTCAATGGTGAGGCAGATGGTTTGGATGATTGGTTTGACTTTTAAGCTGGATTTGAGCTACGGATATTCTGATTTTTAACAATTTTTGGCTGGTCAGACTCTGGCAGCGTAATCCCCAGATTCCTGCTCCCATAAATCCAGTCCTCTCTGTGCTGGGGGCTCTGGGATGGAGACCTGCTCTGAGAGGGGCCCTCAGAGACCTGCATGGGAGGGGGCACCCAGACCCCCCCAACCTGGGCTGGCAGCCACCAGCTGCCACCCTTGTCCCCCTGACCTTGGGGGGACAATCCCCCCTTCTCTGCTCCCGTCCCGCGTGGGCGGCTCTGCAAATCCACCCCTGGCAGGAGCCCAGGCCTGAGCTTCTCCCCGCAACATTGTCTTTTGCAGAGAGATTTATTTAGTTTTTCCTCCTAATTATCAGGAGCCGTGGACTTCCTGCCACCATCAGCGCTCCTTCTCCTGACAGAGCCTGTTCCTGCTGTCACCCCCTGTGTGGAGTGCTCAGAGGTGACATCCTGCCCACCAGGACATGGCCAGGGGCCTTCTCCATCCCTCAGGGACCCTCAGCCAGCCAGGAATCCCTCCGGGGCCGAGGGACCTGCCTTGCTCCAGGACCCCCAAGCAGCCCCCTACAGGGGTTGCCCTGTAGCCACAGGTTTGGGAAAAAAGGAATTTGGGAATGAAATTTGTGATCAGCTCTGTTGGGGTTGGGGAAGGCTCCTCTGAGGGCAGCTCCAGACAAATAAAATCCATGTCTGGGGGCTCATGGTTAACCCTTTGCTGAGGGACATGCAGCAATGTCTAAGGTAATGAATTACCTGCCCCAAACCCTGCAGCTGCCCCACCTGAGAAGAGCCATCACATCCAGAACATCCTGTGTATTGGAATGGTTTTTATTTAGCACATCTCCAGAGCATGAAAATAAAACTCCCGTAAAACAAGGGTCATCTTTGTGTGTACATTGAAATTGTAAACTGAGAAAAAGAGGAAGACTTCTATAGAGGTCAAAGGTCACCCAAAACATCCCTTCAATAGAAATATCATCCATTTTCTGCTCCCAGTGTGAGCTCCAGTGCTGGTCAGTCACTGGTGAAGCAGAGAGGGAGGGAAGGAGGGATGGGGACGAATCTGGGAAATCTTTACCCAGCTTGGTTCAGTCCTACAACCAAAACACTTCCCTGCTGCACCCAGATCATGCAACACCAGGAGTAAAAAAGCTGTTGTGAAACAACAGAGATGATTTTGGGTCTATTTGTGAGAGGCAGAGGGAGTTGAACCTGGCGGTGGGGCTGGGTGGGTTGGATGGAGACGGGACCTGGCTGCCAGCTCGGTGACCGATCCCAGCGCGGCCTTTCCCCTGCCGGCTCCCACGGGGCCTGGCACAGCTCTGGCACAGCTCTGGCACAGCTCTGGCACAGCTCTGGCACCGCTCTGGCACCGCTCTGGCAGTGCTGCCAGGCTTATCTTTAGCTCTGTTCCCTCCCTCGCCCCCGCGCCCACCTCCTCGCCGCGCTCCGCGTCCCGGCCCCCGCCAAAACACGCGTTACATAAACGCTCACTGAACCATCTGGGGCTGAGTCAGCCACAACCCAAACGGACAGCAAACCCCCAGCCGGGGATACCGACCCACGGATAATTTTGGGGTCATCCCCCTGCCAGTGCCACCCCTGAGTGGCCAACACCCCCAGCACGGAGCAGGGAAGGGGACAGGAGGAACGCCCCAGCCCGGAGGATGGGAGTGATGCTGGGGGTCGCCAGGCAAAGAGGGGAAGGTTTAATTACATACTAATGAGGTGTTTCCAAAATAAATGTGCCAGCTGCAGGGGAAGAGGAGAGGGAGTGTCGACTGGCTGGGGAAGGGATGCTGATCTGTCAGCTTGAACACATCCTCTCCATCCTGATATCCCACGGGAAACCCTTCTCACTTCTCCCCTTAAATCAGCACCATTGAGCCCAGTTTGATTCCAAATTTATTCATTTGGGGTTTCCCCCCAAAGCCCAGGGTCAAGACAGGAGTTGTCCTTCACCTCCTTCATAAAAATCACCATTTTTCCCTGTGAGCAGCATCTCAGGAGCGTTTGTGACCTGAACTTTGCAGTGTTGTGCTGATTCACAATGGCTTGTCACAAAAAAAACTGCCTAAAAGTGACAGAAAAAGGGACGCTGACTCATGTGTTTGCCTTCCCCGAGTGAGGAGAAATGTGAAAGGTGAACAAAGTACTTAACGGGTGATAATTACATTCTGCACTGAAAAAAAAATCAATCCATATTAATAAGCCAGAGTGTTATTGCTAGTAGAGGCATTTTACAATTAAAAAATATTAAAATATTTGAGGTTTTTAACCTTGCCAGTGACCTGTTAACAGCAAGTATAAGGAAACCCCTAATTTTGTCCCACTCACAATTATAAATCTGTGTTAAGGAGAAACTCCAGCTGCTGCCTTCCTGGACTCCCTGCAGGATGCTGGAGGCTGGTTCCCTGGCTGGATCCTGGTTTTAGTGGGATGAAACCTGGTGTGGCATGGAGCAGAAGAGCTGGGCTGTCTGAGAGAGCCCTTGATATTGCCCTTATGGAGGGGGAGAAAGGACTTGGAGAAGGTCCACCTTAATGTAGGATGAAAAAGCAGATTGCCAGCAGGAGAGCAGAGATGCTGCTCTGTTACTATGGTTACCCCCGAGACAACCCAGCATCCCTGGGTGTTGCCCTGGGGTACCCGAGCTCCTCCCGGACACCTGGAACAGCACTGGGGCAACTCAGGTGGGCAAGGGACCGAATTTGAGGGGTCTGTAGGGACTGAGGCTCCTGGAGCAGCCTGGAGAGAGGATTAATCCAGGGTGGATGGAGAAGCAGCATCTCCAGTGGGGCCAGGGCAAAGTTCCTTGCCTTCATCCCTCTGAGATGGGGTCCTGGTGGGAATGCAGAGTTCCCAGCCCCACTGCCCACTCTTTGCCTCTTGATGACAGACTGGCTCAGCCAGATTTCAGTGGGTTTGAGCAAAACCCATCCAAGCTGATGAAAAGACACGGTGCCTTTGGGGAGGCCAAAAACCTCTGCAAGGGCACAGAGAGATACTCTGATCCCCTGAATCCAAAGGGAAGAGGCAGGAGGGCAGTCAGTGAGGGCTGGTGCTGAGTTCAGAGTGGGTTTTAGCCCTTAAAGACAACTTGAATATTAGAAGTGGAGATTTCCAGCTAAGAAACAGCCCCAGACTTATTACACTGGTGCCCATCCCTGCTGAAAACTTCCCAGCCAGGCCTGTGAGATGCAAGCAAGGTCATTTCCCTCAGAGCCACATCCCTGCTGCTCCCACCCCTCAGTTCAGCTCTCGAAGATGAGGATGGTTGGATTGGAAATCAAGCAAGGACCAAACACATTTCCCGTGGTGCCAGCATCAGCTCAGCTCCATGGGGATTTCTGTACAAGCAGCCGCTGAGGGAGGGAGGAATTCTGGAGGCAGTGGGAGCTGTCCCCAGGGAGCTGCCGGCTCCTGAATCATTAAATGCTTCCACAAACGAGGCGCTGGGGTTTGCAGTGCAGTGAGGAGTCACTGCTGCATGGCAAAGCAGAGCCTGGCAGCGGGGGCACGGCAGCCGTGGGAAGCTGCTGCACGGGCCTGTCCCTGGGAGAGATGCTGGCAGGGCTCTGCCAGAGCATCCCCCACCTCCTCCCTGGCATTTTCCTTCCCCAGACCCAGCTCCAGTGATTTGGAGTGGAGTTTTCCCCATCTCCTCTCCTCCCTGCCTGTAACAGGCCATTACCAGCCCTGAGAACCCCCTCTCCTCTCCTCTCCTCAGCAAGAGAAAAGCTTCCAGAAAAGCATCTGGTCCAGATTTAAAGGCATTAAGAGACAGAGATTGGTGGCTTGTTCTAATAGCTAATCATTATTAAAAGATCGCTCCTTATTTCCAAGATAGATTTGTCTGGCTCCAGCTTCCAGGAAGAGGTGGTTATTATGCCTCTCCCTGCTAGATTAAGTTACCTCTTTGTACCAGTGTATCCTCCCCGTGAAAAATGCTGTAATCAAGTCACCTCTCAGTCTCCCCCTTTGCTAAATTAAACTGGTTTTGCTCTTAAATCTTGCTTAGCCCCCTCTGTAGTGATTAGAGTGAGTGGCTGGTGGGGATTTTTTTTTTTTTTTTAATGAATAAAAAACTTCCTTACGGCGAAAGGGATGGAGCTGATGGGACCAAACAGACAATTACTGGTGGGTGGAAATGATCAGCCACCGGTCACCTGAACTGGATTCAGCCTGTGCCCAGCCTGAGGAATGGTAATGGATAATTTCCCCAGGTTATCTCAGTACATGAGCCACATTTCCTGTGGCAGCCAGGTGTGAAAGCCAGGAGGAAAATCCAGGATGGCAAATCCAGGGGCTCTGTGTGCAGCAGGCTATTAACCTCTCTGTAAATAGCATCTCACACACCGCCTCCGCTTTCCTCCAGCCGTGACCATTAAAGACATTCAAACTGTCACCTGATGTCCCCTGAGCTCCCCACAGGAGGCAATGCCCATAGGAAACAGATCCTACAGGGCCCATGGGGACCAAGGTTGCTCTGAGAAGATTTGTTGAGTCGGTTTTGGATGGCTGGGCTCGTCCTGCCTGGGCTCCAGACACATTTCCCCATCTCTGGGCTCCCTGCATGGCTGCGCTCCATCACTGTGGGCAGAGCCACTGGAGCGAGGGGTACCCAGGGAGGGGCTGCATTTGGGGGGCTTCTGCACAGCCCCCTCCCCGTGATTCTGAGCATTCCTGCAGCAGGGAGGAAAATTATCCTCCCAAGAAAAATTCAGATGTGTGTTTTCTGCTCCTGCCTAAAGGCAACAGCATGGATATTTTGCTTAAAGGCTCTTAAAAATAATCTCTCTTTGTCGTGCTGGCCCCAGTCTTGCTCAAAGTTTGCTCCACATATCCTGTGTGTGTGACAACTGACAGACTTGGAAACACGTTGGAAGTTGGCTACAGGCAGACACTTCACTATGATCTTTAAAATATACAGCATGACGCGAGATATTTTAAATAGATCAAAATACATTTATTACATATTTATATTATTTTCTCTAGTCTATTTATATCTTTTGGAGACTCTTATATATAATATATATAATATATTTAAAATAACATAAAATTGGCCAGTTCTGTCATCTGAAATACATTTTACAAATATATATATACATTGTCACATATATCTCAAATATATGTGCAATGAGACAGAGAAACACCGGAGGTGGAAAAGGTACAGATACTTCATTGCATCCCTCAGCTTCTCTACCACCATTGCCCCAGCGAACAGACTCAGAGTTTTATCCCTGGGAAACCAGTGCTCCCAGTTGCCAACCTGCCCTGTGAACTGGTACCGGGTCTCTGTCCCCAAACCCACGTGGGGTCAAGCCTGGGGGAGCACTGGGGTGTGTTTGGGGGGGAGATGGAGGGGAGAAGGTGCCCTGGGAGCGGGCAGCAGGACAGATGTGCACAGCAGGTGGGCGAGGGGATGGGTGGCATCGGGTTGGGCGCTGTCCCATGTCCTGTCCCTGCTCCTGATGCATCTGGATCCTGCCCTGTGCCAACCCCCCCGTGGCAGCATTCCTGAATTGGGGGGTGGGAGAGCAGGATGTGTGGCCACAGCTGCCACACGCTCGTTTCTGTGTGCAAGAAATGGGAGGGGACACACACACACACACACACACACACACACACACACACACAGGGGACTCTTTTGGTTGTCAGCACGAGAGGAAAGGGAAGAGCAGGAGGGTTTAAAAATAAACATATTTGTTCTGCCTTATTAAAGATAGAAAAGGTGGCTCTGAAATCATCTCCTACAAAAGGTTTGAAGGTCAAGCAGGCACCGAATCGCGAAAGGTTGAGCACTAAGTGATTGTCCCAGCCCTAAAAGACAAAGTGCACTAAATTCGGTGATGAGAAGCTAAGGCTGGTCCCGATGGCCCCGGCCGAGTGAGGACCCCCAGGGCACAGGATGCTCTTCCCGGAGGGGGATTTGGGGCGGGGGATGCGGCTGTTTTCTGCCCTCTCTGGGGGGTTGTTTAGGGTGAGGCCAAAGTGGAGCAGAGCTCTGAGCCCCGGTTTGGGGAGCTCTGCCCCCAGCCCCAGGATGGGCAATCCCTGCGGGATGTGGCCGGGGGGATTCGCGGCTCTCTCCTCCCTCGGGCTCCTGCATCCTCCAAGGACCAGTGTGACGCTGGAGTGAACTCCAGGGACGGATTTGGCTCGCTGGAGGAAATGCCCGGCGGCTGGTTATTTTTTGGGGTGGGGGACATTTCACCGTGCTCGTCTCCCCTTCCCACAGGGATTCCACCCCACAAAAACCCACACCCCCATAGCCTTCCCAGCCCCCTAAAGAAACCCAAGTGCTGAACTGGGGCTTTTCCCACCTTTTTTTTTTGTTGTTGTTTTCTTTTTTACTCCTTTCTTTGACAATTGATGGGATTTAAGCTATGGCTGGGCAGCCTTCCCGATGCTCCCTGGTGGTAGGAGAAATGACCAGTAGCTCTGAGCTCTCACAGGTAGGCAAAAATCATATTTATACACTATGTACCAGGGTGGTCCATGGTCAGGACAAGGACTATACCGTAGATATAGGATATCTCACCAGAGCTAGACCCTTACTAGCAGGGTTTGGGGCAGGGGGTGTGTGAACAGGGGCCAGGGAAGGTCTGGAATCCCCTCACTGTGGCAGCCACAGGCGCTCCCTGTCCCAGTTCACATCCTCCTACACAGCAGTTTAAAAATACATCTGTATATATTATTCTATTCTCCCAGGTAACACTGTACAATCATAGGAGTTTCTTTAAAAGCAATAATTTACTTAAAGACATTTCTATTTCTCTTTCGTTTTTATACAAATATTTACTGTGATATATATATATATATATATTTATAAAGAAGTTAACCCTCTGAGAACTCTACAGCAGCAAGATGTGCACCTTTTATTTTTTTTAATAATTATTATTTATTCAAAAGAACCTAAAACCACTTAAAAGCATTTGTTTTAAAAAAATAAATAAGTAGTGCTCACACAAAATCTCTCTGCCCCCCCACCCCTCCATCCTTCCCACCCCCCAGATGCTGTGGTGCAAAAAAGCAGGGGGTAAAAGCATCCCCCCAGGAGCAAAAGGATTGGAGATGGGATGGCATCCGCCTTCACTGCCTTAGAAACATAAATGTCATGGCTGGAGCTCAATGGCACGTCCCTGTGTGTCCCCACTTTTGGGGACAATGCATTTGGGGCAGTCAGTACTGAAAAAGGTCTTCTCCCAGTGGTTTTTAGAGGAAGCCAAAAACAGAGCAGCCCCTTGGTGGGCAGTGTGGGGTGATGGTGACAGACACTGGTGGGAAGAAGCTCTGCAGGGATGATGTCCCTGTCCCCAGCACCGTGCTCGGTGGCACAGGGCAGTGGGACACTTGGGGCAGCCCTTTCCCAGAGCCCTTGGCAAGAAGAAGATGGGGATGGGGACACAGGACAAATCCTGCTTTTGCCACCCATGTTTGGACACACCACAGCAAGTCCTGACCCCAAGACACAGCTTCCCTGGTGTGGGCTGTGGGGGGAGAAGCACCGGGAGCCCATCACACCCAAAATGCTGTGGAGGACCCTGCTGCTGAGCCCTGTCCCCAAGGGCTCCATGCCCAGGGTCAGATGAGGGATGCCCATGGATACAAAGCCTCTCCCATGGCCGCAGGGAGCAGGGAGCCAGATTTTGGCTCCCAGAGCACCAACGAGCAGCACAGCCAGATGAAGGGACCACAAAGCTGCTCCTGCCTGACTCCTTCCCTCTGTGGGGAGCAGGGCAGGAGCAGAGGCTTCCCATGCATGGGGTGCTTTGCCTTGTGCTGGAGCTACAGCTAAAGCAGGCTGTCCCCAAGGCCAGCCTGGAAGGCGGTGGATGATGGGGTGTGGGTGCTGCAGAGCAAGAGGGGGGATGCAGGATGGGGGCTGTGGAGAAGGGCTGGGACACGGGATGAGTTCGCATCTCTAAGGCACAATCCACCTTGAGGTTGGGGCACAGGGATGGGCTGAAGCACAAGATGGGGTGATTTTCTCAACTGGCATCTGTTGTTTTGGGGAGAACATCTGAAGCAGGACTCTCTGGTGGGTTGGGAATTCATGAAGCTCAACCTGGCACGGACACAGCTCCAGGACTAGAAGAGCAGCCCAACAAGATGACTTTCCCATTGACTTCCACGTTTGAAAATATTCTTCAATGAAGAAAAATACCAAATTGGTCAGAAAACTGGGAAAATACCCAATTTTGAGAGCCCTCCACTCTCATTTTTGTGCTTTTCACTGTTATGTCCCAGTTATGGTGAACCTTATGAATTCCCCATCAGAGATGTTGGGGGAGACCCAACACTTCAGCAGCTGATGTTCCAGACCCCATTTCCACCCCGAAATACAACATTTCCAGATATTGGCTAATCACTGTGTTTACAATGCTTTTTTCTCTCACAGCTCTGCTTATCCTCATTACCTCCTTGTTAATAATTTCACTACTTTCTTTCACTGCCACAGACCTACAGTCACTTACATCTGTTTTCTGCATATGAAGCCATGCCAGTGGTAAAAAACACCCCGAAACTGGATGCAATCTTAACTTTTAGCTCTTGCATTTACCCAACAAGTCACCCCCTCAAAGGACCCCAGTGGCTTCTTCATTCCTTTGTTCATTTTTAAAAAATACTGAATGACTTCTTTCAGATTCAATATTATTATTATTGTTATAATTATAATAATAATTATTATTATTATTTTGGTAAACAGTCTCCCAAACGGTGCGGTGAAAATATTAAAAACCCTCTCACGTCCCTCCCCCATTTTTTCCCAAATTAAAAAGAAGTACATTAATGTTGCATGTTATTTCAAGTGTTGTTCTTGTGCAACTGAACCGACCACCTGCCAAAGGAGCAATTGTTTTGTTGTTGCTGCTCAGTTAAAAAATAAAAGGAAAAGAAAAGAAAAGAAAGAGAGAAAGACAGAGAGTAAGATTTGTTTCCTGATATTTCCTCTTTTTGGATCTCGCAGTGCTCGGCTCCAGGAAAACGCTGGCGTTTTCCCCACGGGGACAGCAAAGCCCCACGGGGCTGCGCGGGGCGAGCACCTGCCCGCGCCCCACGGACCCTCCTCTCCTCATCCTTCCTTCTGTCCATCCATCCATCCATCCATCTGTCCATCCATCCCCCAGAGCCATGGGCCCTGCTGCAGGCGCTGGGCGCGGGGGACGCGCCGTGGCCTGCCACCGTCCCCTCTGCAGACCGCTCAGTGGTTATTGCAATGAAACTGAAAACTATGAACGATACTAATTTCTCAAGCATTCCTATGGCACTTGCATTGTTCTGCATAATTTGAGCGGGTTTTAGGGGAAGAGATTAGAGGAGGAAAAAAAATACCCTTGGAAAAGTCAATGGAAGGACCAAGAGTCATATTTCCGACTCCCTCCTGTACGACCGCTGATCCAACGCTATTGTGGCTTGAAGCCTGTCGAACTCGTGCCTGTTGTCCGGGCTGAGGTCCTCCAGACCCCGACTGTCGTCGTCTTCCTCTTCCTCATCACGGCTCATGAAGGCCAGCTCGTTCTCGTAGCAGAAGGAGTTGGTGCTGGGCAGCAGGAATTTGTTCTCCACCAAGTCCTTGGCGCTGCAACGGGGCGTGGACGGGACCTCGTAGGTTTTGTGGAAGTGGGAATAGTCTACTTTGTACTGGTTTTTCTCCTCGAACAAGACGGGCTCAAAGCGGTGGCCCCACAGTATCTCACTGGCCAGGTAGGAGCTCCGAGCTTGCGTCGTCATGGCTGTGGCCTCTACCATGCCCTCCAGGATGACGACAATCTCAAAGTCATCTGTCTCCAAGTCCTGGCGGCTGATCCCGAACAAGGGGCTGTCTTCGTTGATCTCATGGAGAATGGTGATGGGAGACACCAAGAAAATACGGTCCAAGCCTTTATCAAACCCCACGTCAATGTCTATTTGGTCGAGCGGGATGTACTCCCCTTCCTCCGTGATCCTGGGCTTAATTAGCTGAGCTCGTACGTGGGCTTCTACTATGTGGCTTTTCCGTAGGTTCCCAACTCTCCACATCAAGCAGAGTTTTCCATCTCTCATCGCCACTACTGCGTTATGGCTGAAAAGTAATGTCTGGGCCCGTTTTTTGGGCCTGGCCATTTTTGCCATTATTGCACCAATCATGAAAGAGTCGATTATGCAGCCCACGATGGACTGAACCACCACCATGAAGACGGCAAGCGGACACTCCTCGGTCACGCAGCGGAAGCCGTACCCAATCGTCGTTTGGGTCTCGATGGAGAACAGAAAAGCAGCCACAAAGCCATTGACCTGCAGAACGCAAGGTTTGAAAGTATCGTCTCCACCCGGGTTTTCTAGGTCTCCATGAATGAGTGCAATTAGCCAGAAAATCAGCCCAAATAATAACCAGGACACCAGAAATGCCAGGGAAAAGAGCAAGAGCATATACCTCCAGCGGATATCAACGCACGTGGTGAACATGTCTGCAATGTACCTCTGTGGCTTGTCATCCATGTTGGTGAACTCCACGTTGCACTGACCATTCTTCTTTACAAACCTGTTCCTGCATTTCCTCCTGGTGTGGATTTTCCCATTGCCAAAGCCGTTGATACCTGGCATGGTGGTCAACCTCAGCCCGTCTTCCTCGGAGGACACGATGCTGTAAGGGTTGACTCTGCCCGTTGTCATCCCTGAGCCAAGACCACAGTGAAGGTGAAGGGTCTTGCGACTCCCAGTGTCCCCCTGACCCACCCCTGCCCACCCCCCAAATTCTGCTGCGGTGGAAGAGAAGTCCCAAACTTCCACGTCTTGGCTGCCACGTCACCACGTGGATCCTGTGAGAGGCTCTGCAATGAGAAAACAAAGACAGGGCCGTTACCACTCATGGCACAGGGACCCAGAGGGCTGCTTGGCCAATGGTTCTGATGGGCTGCATGTTGAGTGACAACCTCCTACAGTGCTCTAATTCTCCCCTCCTTAGCTGGGTTGATCTCAAAAAGGAGAGGAGAAGGTGTTAGAGTTTCTTCTTTCATGATACGAAGCGAGTGAACAAATCTTACTGCATTTGTGGGACACTCAACAACTCCAGCAGATGAAAAACCTGGAGTTTCTCCACTTCACTTTTCCCACGAGCTCTGCCACCAGAGGGGAAGGCAGAGAGGCCGAGCTGTTCTCCTTGGGACACAGATACCAATAAAGGTACTCCTGGAAGCGGCTCCATCAGTTCACATTGCCCGTGCCAGATGGATCGACGCCCAGCCCAGCATCGACCTCAGAGCACCAGCTCTTCTGGGCTCGAGGGAAAGCACAGGGAGATGTGGATTTAACCTCTGTCCCCCTGCCCGGGGATGGGAGAGGACACGGCCAACATGCATCTGCTTGGAGAAGGCCCCAGAAAGGTACTTGCTCAGGGCAGATGTCCTGAGGAGCAACTTTCCCAATGTACCCATTGGGACATGGAGCCACCCACGGTCACGGATGGGTTTAGCTGGCCAAGTCTCATGAAGGAACAAGTGCCACTGGGGAATGAGGAGCTGTTTTGGTCCCTTCTGGAAGGCTCAGCTGCAGGGTCAAAGACCTACACTCAGCTTTGCTTGGGAGAGAGGTGACATGGACATGGGAGAGGTGGCCCAAGCCTGGTGGGCTCCCTGGTGGAGGTGAGCATGTGGTGGGTGAACCCACTCTGCCAGGCAGCTGGACCCACCCAGCCCCTTGTGGGGCTGCATCAGGGAGTGGACAGGATTGTGGAGAAGCCATGTGGCACATCCCAAGCACCTCAAAGAGATGGCACCACAGGAACTCGCCACACACCACCCCCTGGCACTGGTCACCCTATTATTTAGCACCGTGGGACGTGGAACCACCTTGCTGGTAGTGAGACCTGCACAGGGCAGCAGTGTGGTGGGGGGTGGGTGCAGAGCCCCCATGGTAGCCCAGCTGGTGCCTGGAGCGCAGCGAAGCCGCCGGGCTGGACACGCTGTGCCGGATCCGTCAGCCCCATCGATGCCATCGATTCCTGCAATCAGCTCCAGCGCCCGGGGACACGCTGGGACAAACACACCCTTTCCATTACACAGTGTCCAGGGCCAGCCAGTGCCAGGGAGCATTGCCAGGCACAACCTGCCTGGGGCTGCATCATCCCGGCTCGCAATGATACCCTGCCCTGCCTTTTACTGAAATGCTCCCCAAATCCAGCCTGAGAATCAAGAAACCCTCCAGAAGCACTGCACCACAAACAGGAGCACTAAAGCCTGCCCAAACCTCCCAGCTTCTGGACACAGACCCGTGTGTGCCATCACCTTATACCAAACAAGGTTTCCCCCTGCTGCAATCCAAGCACAACCATTTGTATGCCCAAAGTTAATTTTTGAGAGCCACGGGGGTTTGCTGGCATCTCAGAAGACCAAGAGATTGCTCACGCACGGAATGAGAGCCTCTCCCTCTTTGGAGCCACAGGGGAGAGTAAAATAGTCACAAACAGTTAATATTAATAGTAAATATTTATGATCTTATAATCTCTGGAAGTGAAACAGGACCAAAGCAGCCTTGCAGAGCTGATCTATCAGGCTGGCTGCCCAGCACCAACCTGGTCTCCAACCCTAAGTCTTCCTCCTGTCCCTTCTGGATGCATCCATTAATGTTTCTCCTCTTTTTTTTTTTTAAAGGAGATGTGAGCATTTTGGACCAGAAAAGGCTGGTCCTCTATCACCCCTCTGGCTCACCCCAGGGCAATACACCAAATGTTTTTGCCACAAGAGGCATTTAGAGTTGGGGTTTTTAAAATTAATTCTAGATGCATTTGAGAAGTGAACAAAATGCAATGAGCCCCCAGTGACCTGTGAGAGGATTAGCTGGGGTCTGGATTAACTGTGCTGGAAGAGGAGCTGTGCCCGGGTGACTGCAGAAGCAGCAGAGCTGCCCTCACCTGGGGTGGAGTTTTCAGGGACCCTCAGGCTCCTCGTCCCCCTCACTGTTCCCCCTTGCCTGCACCCCTTTCCCCATCCCTCCTTCATTCTCTCTCCTTTCCTTTCCTTTCCTTTCCTTTCCTTTCCTCTCCTCTCCTCTCCTTTCCTTTCCTCTCCTCTCCTCTCCTCTCCTCTCCTCTCCTCTCCTCTCCTCTCCTCTCCTCTCCTCTCCTCTCCTCTCCTCTCCTCTCCTCTCCTCTCCTCTCCTCTCCTCTCCTCTCCTCTCCTCTCCTCTCCTCTCCTCTCCTCTCCTCTCCTCTCCTCTCCTCTCCTCTCCTCTCCTCTCCTCTCCTCTCCTCTCCTCTCCTCTCCTCTCCTCTCCTCTCCTCTCCTCTCCTCTCCTCTCCTCTCCTCTCCTCTCCTCTCCTCTCCTCTCCTCTCCTCTCCTCTCCTCTCCTCTCCTCTCCTCTCCTCTCCTCTCCTCTCCTCTCCTCTCCTCTCCTCTCCTCTCCTCTCCTCTCCTCTCCTCTCCTCTCCTCTCCTCTCCTCTCCTCTCCTCTCCTCTCCTCTCCTCTCCTCTCCTCTCCTCTCCTCTCCTCTCCTCTCCTCTCCTCTCCTCTCCTCTCCTCTCCTCTCCTCTCCTCTCCTCTCCTCTCCTCTCCTCTCCTCTCCTCTCCTCTCCTCTCCTCTCCTCTCCTCTCCTCTCCTCTCCTCTCCTCTCCTCTCCTCTCCTCTCCTCTCCTCTCCTCTCCTCTCCTCTCCTCTCCTCTCCTCTCCTCTCCTCTCCTCTCCTCTCCTCTCCTCTCCTCTCCTCTCCTCTCCTCTCCTCTCCTCTCCTCTCCTTTCCTTTCCTTTCCTTTCCTTTCCTTTCCTTTCCTTTCCTTTCCTTTCCTTTCCTTTCCTTTCCTTTCCTTTCCTTTCCTTTCCTTTCCTTTCCTTTCCTTTCCTTTCCTTTCCTTTCCTTTCCTTTCCTTTCCTTTCCTTTCCTTTCCTTTCCTTTCCCCCTTCTTCCCCTTCTTTTCCCCCTTTTCCCTTTCCATGTCACACAGAGTTTCAGGGACCCCTCTGCTGCGGGGTGATGCCAGGACAGATCCCAGGAGCCATCTCTGTTTTGGGTACAGGGAGGTTCTTGTGGCACAGCCCCTTTCCCATCTGGGACCCCCATTCCCGGACCGAGCCCTTCCCGGAGCTCCGGCGGGTCCGACCCCCCCGTCCCGTCCCGGGCCGGCAGCGGCAGCCTGGGGAGACGGCAGCTAAATAAAGGCAGCAAAGTGGATGTGCCGGAGCAGGCGGCCGCCTGCGGCTCGTCCTTTATTTAGCACAGTTTTGTTTGGAAATACACTTTCTCGAGTTCGCTGAAAGCTGAAGTTCTGGTTTGGTTTAAATTGGAAGGCTGGAGCCCCACGCTGCCGCTGCGGGAGGCTGAGGCTGGGACAGGGCTCATGCAAACACACGGAAAGCCGTGGCTGGAAGGCTCTGGCAGGGGACCAGCTGGGGACAACATCCCCGTGGTCACCCTGCATCTCCTTGGCTCGGGGGTGCATCCTCCAGCACCTCCCCACAGCCAGGACTGCCCATGGGGGCTGCCAGAGGTGCTCCTGGAGGTAAATCCCCCTTCCTGCCGGCTTCCCACAAACCTGCCTATCACAGTTTTCCCTCGCAGGAACAAAATCAAAACTCCCCTGACGATCCCTGCCCGTTAATCCCATTCCAACCCAGGCTGGGTGTGGGGCAGGAGCGGGGCCATCCCCTGTGCTGGTGCCACGCGTCCCGCGCGGAGCCAACAGCGTTCAAGTCGTCAGCTTTAGTTAAAATCGGAAACAAAACAGGCTCAAAACACGAGTTTCGGGAACGAGCGGCCCCGGCTCCCCGCGGCTCGGAAGGCAGAACTGCCCCAGCTAATGAGCTGACAAAGGAGGCAAAAAACTCCTGCCACGAAACTGCAGCGACCCAACTCCCACCGCGGAGCGCATCCCCGCCGAGAGCGTCTCCAGCAATCTGCCAACTGCGCAGTTCATTTTATTTATTTCGCTTTTTTCTTAAAAGGGGATGTTAAATGTTACGACAATATTCGGAACAGCCGGCACGCTGGGAAAATGCGCTGGGTGCTGGGGAAGTCATTAGTTAGAGCCGGCTGGATGTGTCAATGCGATTTATCATCACACCTTTCCCTGCGCCACCTGCCTCCCGCACCCTCCCAGCGTGGATTTTCTCATGGGAGTGTATTTCAGTGCTCAGGTGGGGGCTCGGAGGAGTTGAGGTTGGGGGTGATGAGTTTGCAGGTCCCCTGTTGGAGGGGCAGGAGAGGGCACGGCGTGAGCGGGTCCCACTCGCTGCTGCTGCCTGCCCCGAGCCGCAGATAATGCTGCCCTGCGCCCGGAGATAACGCCGCTATCTCCCCGGCGATGCCCTTCATGCCCCAGCAGCAGGACAGCAATGTCAGCGGCGAGGAGGGAGCTCGGTGTGCGGCACAGCCCCGAGAGCCCAAACATCCCCCGCTCACCCCGTCCCGACAAAGCCACCCCAAAACCAGGGCACCCACAAACCCAGGGGAGGCAGCTCAGGCTCCCCGAGGCATTCCAGGGCAGCAGCAACGCCTGAATAATTCCCTCCTACAATGCCGTGTCTTTGAGCACTGCCAAAAAATTGAGGGTCAGCACAAGGCAGGGCACGCCAGGACATATAAAGAATAAATGAGAATAAATTGCCCCCTGTTTCCCCTCCACTGCCAAGGAGGACAGGAAAGAGTTTCCCACCGTAGTGCATCCCTAATGAGGAAAAACTGCTCCGTTTTGGCAGGGACACGGGAGGAAAACAGCCATGGGCACACACCCCTCCCCAGGACCCCCATGTACTCCCTATTTCCAACAAGCAATAGCGATCTCAATCCAACAGCGATTGAGAAATCGCTGTCTGCAAGCCGTGGTGGCACATGCAGAAGG